GGCATAGTCTCTGCCCAGTCAGGGCTGTGAGATGCTATTTGGACCGCACATCTGACCTCAGACGGTCGGATCAGTTGTTTGTGGGGTTTGGCACCAGGAGTCAGGGTGCCGCTTTGTCTCCACAGCGCTTGGCCCACTGACTTTGCCTTGCTATCCGTCTGGCGTATGAAGCTCAGGGCTTGCCGCCTCCGGCCCGGTTGAGGGCTCACTCCACTCGCGGGGTTGCCACCTCGGTGGCTTTGTTCCGTGGCACTTCGGTGGAGGAGATCTGCAGAGCTGCGTCTTGGTCCTCTTCCTCAACCTTTGTGCAGTTTTACCTACTGGATGTGGCCCTGGTTCCTCCTTCGGTGGGGACCGGTCTGCAGGTGGAGGGTTGTGTGAAGAGGTGTTGGCGCTCTTGGTTATTATGTGATAATAACATAGCCATGGACCTTACCACACTGAAGATGGTTAATGTGACAATAACATAACCATGGACCGTACCACACTGAAGATGGTTAATGTGATAATAACATAACCATGGACCTTACCACACTGAAGATGGTTAATATGATAATAACATAACCATGGACCTTACCACACTGAAGATGGTTAATATGATAATAACATAACCATGGACCGTACCACACTGAAGATGGTTAATGTGATAATAACATAACCATGGACCGTACCACACTGAAGATGGTTAATGTGATAATAACATAACCATGGACCTTACCACACTGAAGATGGTTAATGTGATAATAACATAACCATGGACCTAACCACACTGAAGATGGTTAATGTGATAATAACATAACCATGGACCTTACCACACTGAAGATGGTTAATGTGATAATAACATAACCATGGACCTTACCACACTGAAGACGGTTAATGTGATAATAACATAACCATGGACCTGACCACACTGAAGATGGTTAATGTGATAATAACATAACCATGGACCTAACCACACTGAAGATGGTTAATGTGATAATAACAAAACCATGGACCTTACCACACTGAAGATGGTTAATGTGATAATAACATAACCATGGACCTTACCACACTGAAGATGGTTAATGTGATAATAACATAACCATGGACCTTACCACACTGAAGATGGTTAATGTGATTATAACAAAACCATGGACCTTACCACACTGAAGATGGTTCCTTTGTGAGCAAGTTTTCTCTGTAATAAGCCTTAAAACAAAGCTAACATACAAATATTAATATACATATTGTGAAATACCATTTTCAATGTAATATTGTAAATACATTACATTATTTGCACTATGAAAAACTCACTGTTACATTTAAGTTTGTAACAGAAAACTTAGTATTAAAGGACAGTGTTTTAAAAGAAGTTTTAAATAAATGTGTTTATGTGCACAAAAAGTTGGACTTTGTACCGTTTTTGGATATTTTTGTAGAGCATCGTCTGGTCCGGCCCACTTGAGATCAGATTAGGTTGTATGACACCACTGTCCTAGGGGATTTTAGTAAGGGAAACTTGAGCCAAGAATTACCCAAATACAGACAGTTCATCATATGCCCGACCAGAGAGGAGAACATTCTGGACCACGGACACACCACTGTGGGCGGAGCTTATTCCGCTGTGCCGCGTACAGCTCTAGGCTTCCGTGATCACTCCATGATACACCTGATTCCTGCATACAGACAGAGACTGAAGCTCTCGAAACCTTTAGTGAGGAACTCCAAGGTGTGGTCTGCTGAGGCTGTGGAGGAGGACGGACTGGGACATTTTCAGAGCTGCCACAGATAGTTTGGACAACTACACGGACACAGTGATGTCATACATTCACTTCTGCGAGGATAGTATTACTCCAACAAGGACCAGGGTCATCTACAACAACAACAAACCCTGGTAACCAAGACCAGGATAACCGGACTTAAAAACTACAGACCTGTGGCTCTGACATTTGTAGTCATGAAATCATTTGACCGCCTGGTCCTCTCTCATCTCAAGTCTTTCACCTCCGTCCACCAGGACCCCCTGCAGTTCGCCTACAGAGCCAACAGATCTGTAGACAACGCCATTAACCTCAACTCCATCTTGTATTATCTGGACTCCTCAGGGACATACGCCAGGTCCTGTTCGTGGACTTCAGCTCTGCCTTCAACACGATGCTGCCATCCCTGCTCCAGGACAAGCTCTCCCAGCTCTGCAGGTGGAATCTGCCCGATTCCACCTGCAGGTGGATCACTGACTTCCTGACATACAGGAAGCAGCAAGTGCGTCTGGGGAAGAATGTCTCGGACTCCCGGATTATAAACACAGGAGCCCCACAGGGCTGTGTTCTTTCTTCCCTGCTCTCCTCCCTGTACACCAACCACTGCACCTTCAGCCACGACTCCGTGAAGCTGCTCAAGTTTGTGGACACCACCCTCATTGGACTCATCTCCAACAACGATGAGTCCGCCTACAGGAGGGAGGTGGACCGGCTGGTGTCCTGGTGCAGTGGTAACAACCTCGATCTGAACGCCCAGGAGACATTGGAGATGATTGTGGACTTCAAGAAGAGCACTGTCCCCCCGCCCCCACCCTCCGTGATGGACTCCCTCATCACTTCTGTGGAGTCATTTCGTTTCCTGGGCACCACCATCACCCAGGACCTCAAGTGGGAGCCGACCATCAGCTCCCTCATCCAGAAGGCCCAGCAGAGGATGTACTTCCTGCGGCAGCTCAGGAAAGCCAAGCTGCCTGCGCAGATGTTGGTGCAGTTCTACACCGCCATCATCGAGTCCATCCTCACCTCCTCCATCACCGTGTGGTTCGCTGGAGCCAGAGTCAGGGACAAGCAGAGACTACAGCGCATTGTGCGCTCTGCAGAGAAGGTGATTGGCCGCAGCCTTCCATCGCTGCAGGACCTGTACGTCGCCCGAGCTCGAGGTCGGGCTGTCGTATCACAGCCGACCCCTCTCACCCTGTATATGGTCTGTTCCAACCTCTCTCCTCGGGCAGGAGGCTACGGTCCATCAGGACCAAAACCTCCCGCCATATGAACAGTTTCTTCCCCTCTGCCGTTGGACTTTTGAACACTTCAGTACCTGTCCCCCCGCCCTTTATAAGTCACCTACGGCCCCTTATATAGTCACCCTACTGTCCCTTATTAAGTCACTTTAATGCCCATCATAACGTCACTTACTGCTTGTCACCTTATTGCACTGTCCCACTGCATATTGTGTGCAGCATGTGCACTTGCATATTGTACATAGTAATTGTAATTGTTATAATTCTATTTTAAATTTCATTCCTTAGAAGTGTATGCTGATTTGTATTAATGCCTTACTCTATTCTTTACCTCTCTTTTCTGACTGATGCATTGAGCCAAAGCAATTTCGCTCTAAAGCTCTAAAGCAAAGTTTGCTTTAGAGCAGCGTCACTCCTCTCTGCTACCCGGTGGACTGGTAACACATCTTCAATAGTATAAATGGGTCAGATTTTACTAATCAAATCAATCTTATGCCAACAGAAACCCCCACAAAAGGTAAACAACATCCCCAACAGAATTAAATTCCGTATTAACTCACTGACTGCCAGGCATTTTCAGATTTGAGAAGTGCATTCTGCCAGCAATTTCAGGTGATTTGACCCAACTTTGAAGTGCACCAAGGGCACCAAATTAAAGATTCACCTCTCTGCTTTACTCTGAAAAAAACAGTTTGTTTCTACCTCTTACCGTTCTTGCGTTATTCGCCATAGAACAAAACATACTTTCACCCATAACACCTGGTCTGAGCAAGAAAACAGAGAAAAGGAGCTGTATGTAAACAGGAACATATCAAGCAGAAAAGAGACTTTTAGATCCATTTTTGCTGCTTTAGTGACAACTCAAAACATCTTCACACTTGTTCCATTACAAAAATTATAAAAACATGACTCTGAAATAATACTTTTGATGGCAAATTGTTGGCAATTTATTCACAGATAGAAAATTTAACTTTCTTCTATACCATCAACCAAAACGTCAAACAACAACAACACAAAGATCAATAAAACTATAGATGTATAAAATAGAATGAAGCATGTGAATTTGAGTGTGTTGGTGTGTGTGAATGTCAGTGTGCGAGTGAGTGTCTGTGTGAGTGAGTGTCTGTGTGTGTGTGAATGTCAGTGTGTGTGAATGTCAGTGTGCGAGTGAGTGTCTGTGTGCGTGAATGTCAGTGTGTGTGAATGTCAGTGTGCGAGTGAGTGTCTGTGTGCGTGAGTGAGTGAGTGCGTGTGAGTGTTTGTGAGTGTGTCCGATAAATCATGATCAGGTTTGCTGAACGAATCCGAGGCATCAGTAACAACAGCAGCTGATACGCTGAGAGAGGCGGAAGGTGTGTCTCTGCTCCGGGCTCTTGCTCCGCACAAATGTGGCTGCAGAGACGGACCTCCACCGGGGGGAGACCCCGGCTCTCTCCCCTCTCGACCTCACTCACTGATCCGCGAGTCAATCTCTGAAGCAGTATCAGCTGCTTATAACTATTCTTTTTCGCCATCACTCTTGCTATACTATTGCTAAACTAGATCGCTGATCCGTCTCAATGCTACGCTATCATCGCTCGCTCTGCTACAGCACCACGCTCTCCAAACACTCCCACACTCCTCCTCCTTCTCTCCACTGACTTATGACATCTCCTGTGGTGCAATACTGCATCCTACTGGTGGTGATTTATCATTACAGGTACATTTGCACTATATATCAGTATTGTGGGTCATTCACAAGGTGCGCCAGACATTACTGCAGCCTCCCGTGTAATAACACGAAAAACTCGTCAAACTCGTCATGGGCAGTGAGCGTTACTATTCAACATGACGAGTTTTGTCGTCATGGGCAGTGAATGAGTTAATAAGGTTATAAAAAATATATCTATATTCATAAAAAAATACATTCTGAGCTGATAGTTAATAAAGGTTCATACATTAAGCTAGCCCCAAAACCATTTTGTAAGATCGCTGACTACCTCAGGTGATCTAGTCTTTCGTATGTGGCTACAAGACTTACAGGCATGCTCTTTTCCAAACCCGGACAGCTTTGCCTCATACTGTGCCCTCCACCTAAAGTAGTCCCTATACTCCTCCGGATGTTTGTCCAGATAGTGCAGTCTTTCCGCCAGCTCCTTGGGGTTTGCAAAGTCATTGATGTGGATAAAGGCATCCGCTGGGATCTGCTTCTCATAATTGTCTCTGGGAGGACCGAGCACGATTGGCACACTCCCAAACATCATTGTGCGAAAAAGTTTCTCTGTGATATAGTCTTTGTATACAGAATTCTCAAATGCAAGATAGAACTTACAGCTCGAAACAACCTCCTCGAGAGCATCAGCAGAAGAGCGGCTTCTGAAACGCACGGCCATAAATGTTGATTGCAATGTACTTTTTCAGTTCGTTGTAATACTGAACTCGAGCATATTGGTTGTTCCAGTTGCTTACAACCCAGCACACCAGTTTGTCTTTATTTGGAAGTGGAACAATCGGTTCGCTGGCATTGCGTTTCTGCAAGTATCCGTACGGGATTCGGACTGTGGAATCTTCTCGGTAGTTGCACGTAATGTTGAATAAATTGCTTAAAATTGGGATTGGGCTTGTGTTTTGCGGTGATTCCATGTCCATCCACACCCATTTCTGAAACCAAGGGCGCGGGATTTTCCGAAGATCTATAAAGTCTGCATGTATATCCCGGTGATGGACAAAGACACCGTCCGCGGTGTGGTACAGGCTTCGGTCATCTGTCAAAAGGCACTTCTCGATGCCAAAAACACTGCAGTTTGAGTCAAACTTGACTCCAAAAGGCCAAGTCCAGATAAGAAGGACTGTGAGATTGTCAGTGGGATTGTCAGTGGGATTATCTGTGGGATTGTCTTCAGGTTTGACAGTGCCGTTTGAGGGTGTAGTTGACAGAGTTGTATTCAATTGGAAAAATCGGGCAAACGAAGGAATGTTCAGATTGGCGTGATATGAGTAGAAGAGCAGGAGTGTGGACAGCACCAGAAGAATCGCCAAGATAAAGGGACGGGTGCAAGAGTGCTGGCCCAGGGAGGAGGACATGGCTCATCTGCAGAAACACAATGGATACAAATTAGGCAGAGACAATGCATTGTAAAGATTCTGCATCATTTTTTCCCGTGCACAAAAGTTGGGCATACCCAAATGTCTTTGCTTATTTAAAAACACATCTTACATGTCACATGCTTGTGTGATGCATCATTTTAAAGCTAGGGCCTTCTAGTTTATGTAAATATACACTAAAATTATGTATGTCATTCCTATGAAATACATCTTTTGAAGTTTGGGAAAAAACCCTGTTTTTTTTTTGCCTCGCCTAAAATATTCAATGTATAAATGCCCTAACAAAGGCATACCTCATAGGAAGATCACATTACTAAAACTCTATATGGTCATTGTGTTGTTGACAACAACTGTCTAAAGTTTCAGACTTCCAAGTTTTATAGTTTTTATGCAGTTTCTCTTTTTCATCAAGTAGTGTCATTCGGTAGCTTTACTGACATTTCATCATCATAAAAACCATATTTTTTAGTTTTGGTACTTACGAGCTACTACTCTCAGCTCCTGTGGACTCACCACCTGCAGGAGGATCAGGTCCTCCTGCAGGTGGGGGGGGGGAACCCAGAAATGTATTAAGGGGAAGAAAACACAAGTTACTAATCTGTGTGTGATTTTTTTTTTTTTTTTTAATTCAAAATTAATTTTTTAGTAGTGTAAATGCATATATTATATGCGCAGCAACAAAAAAGCGTCTTTACGCAAGCTTGTACTGTGAAAATTACAAGGAGTTCCCCAATGTCCCACCCCTTGCTACAAAGCTTTTTTTATTGGCTACATGGACATATCAATCATTCAGCAATAGAAGACTTCCCTAGCCTTTGGGTTAACAACGAATACAAACGGACCCTGCACAAATGCATGATACTTGTCATATTCACAAGGGGATTGCAAACGGCCACCTGCTCCTATCTCTAATTTTGTAGCTAACAGGTTGAGGAACACAAGCTTACCCTGTTTGTGGTTGAAAAACAAAGCTAAAGGTCCGCTAACGGTGAAAGAGCAGCGCCTGTGTTTTTTCAGAACTTTTTTTTGCTAAACATACATTTTTGGATTATTTCTCCAGAATGGATTATACTTTGGAAAATACAAGTGGACATTCTTTTTCCATGGACATTTGCGGAGTGAATGAGCGTAAGCAATGAAGGGGGAAGTCTAATTTGTTCAAGCAGCAGAAGACGAAAGGTAAAAAACATATATTGATTGAGAGAGTGGACTCTTTCAAGTACCTGGGTGTTCATCTGAACCACAAACTGGACTGGACTCATAACACAGACGCCCTCTTCAAGAAGGGCCAGAGTCGCCTCTACCTGCTGAGGAGGCTCAGGTCTTTTGGAGTGCAGGGGCCACTCCTGAAGACCTTCTATGACTCTGTGGTGGCATTAGCCATCTTGTACGGTGTGTTCTGCTGGAACAGCAGCATCACAGAGAGGGACAGGAAGAAGCTGGACAAGGTCATCAGGAAGTCCAGCTCAGTCTCCTGGGCTGTTCCCTGGACACAGTGCAGCAGGTGGGGGACAGGAGGGCCCTGAGCAAACTAACATCTATGCTGGACCATGACTGTCGCCCCCTGCAGGACACTCTCTCTGCTCTGGAGAGCAGCTTCAGTGATAGACTTATTCACCCTCGCTGTGTGAAGGAGAGGTTCCGTAGGTCTTTCCTTCCTGCTGCTGTCAGACTGTACAATGAGAACTGCTGAGCCTGTACATTTCATTCATCTGTAACTAAGTAAATTCTTAAATCATGTGCAATGTGCAACTTCAGGATGTCACAGAACAATGGGCCTCATTCACGAATAACTTCGTAAGAAACTACTCAACTTTCTTCTCAAGTTGTCCTTAAGTAGATTTCTAAGAAGTCCCCACGTGGGATTCATCAACGCACTCGTAAGGCGCTGAATTGTTCGCAGCTGTTCTCTCAGATTGATGAATCCCATTTCCTCGTAAGTACAGCGCGCGTGCCAGGTGCTTCATTAGCATAGGTACTTAGCATAAGTAACCGCCCACTAATGCCCATATAAGGGACTGCAGGGCCGTGTGCAGACGGCAGAGGAAACAGCAACAGGCCTAAAGCAACAGGCCACGGAGCAAAAGAGTCACCCTTTTTTCTTCTTTTACCAGACTGAGAATAAAGTTATAAAATGTTGACTTAAAAGTCGAAATATTATGATAATAAAGTCGAACTAGCAAGATTATGAGATTAATCTAAGAATATGATGAGATTAATCTCAAAATGTTATGAGCTTAATTTAAAAGTATATTATGTATTATTTTAAAGATGAATCTCAAAAGGTTTTGAGATTAATCTCAAAATATTTTGGACCCTGGGAGGAGATCCAGCGCGGACCAGCGCTGAGACCAATGCAGACCCGAGGAGAGACTGGAGTGACCAGCACACAGAAACCAGCGCGGACCTATAGGAGAGACTGCATAGACTGGAGACACCTGACTGGAGAGACCGGTGCGCAGAGACCAGCGCGGACCGAAGATAGACCGCATAGACCAGACTTGAGAGACCAGCGCGGACCCGTATGGATCCAGGAGCATGCAGCACGGACCCGTATGGAGAGAGACCAGTGCAGACCCGTATATGGGAGAGACCAGTGCAGACCCGTCTAGATCCATGGGAGAGACCAGTGCAGACCCGTCTAGATCCATGGGAGAGACCAGTGCAGACCCGTATAGATCCATAGGAGAGACCAGCGCAGACCCGTATAGATCCATGGGAGAGACCAGTGCAGACCAGTATAGATCCATGGGAGAGACCAGCGCAGACCCGTATAGATCCATAGGAGAGACCAGCGCAGAGACTCAGCGCGGACCCAGTAACCTCCTGCAGCAGCAGTATATATGCCGTTGTTCTGTGGCCCGTGGATAAAGAAATGCCCCCTATAAATAGGAAGGGGTCACTAATACACGGCAAGATTTCCAATGTATTTGATAAAGCGTTGGCACATTTCATTTCAAAATGAATTAAAAAGTAGGCCAGATCTGCAGTGAAAAAGGCGGTATATAAATAAAGATTACTACAAATAAATAAATACATACATCAATATGACAAACATATCACTGTAATGTTGTGTTTTATTGAACTTCACAACACCACCGTCGAACATGTCGGCACTGAATGCGTACGAGTGCTCCTGAGGACTCGTAGGATTTGTACTTGCCCAAGAGAAATTCTGGTTACGAGAAATATTCGTGAATGCCACTTTCTTCGTAAAAACCGCGTAAGTAGGATTTACGTACAAATCTGTTCCTAAGAACCGTTCGTGAATGAGGCCCAATGTCTCTTTACCCCATGTCACTTTACTTATATACTTTTTATCCTGCACTATTTAACTGTACAGTATATAACTGCACTACTACATATATTTTTTTTTGACTGGTATTGAAGCATTTTCAGCATCTACAGCTAGTTATGTTAGTTTAGAAACATAGCTACTACTTATTTGTATATAGTGTATATATTGTGTGTGATCCCTGTGTGCTCTTACTACTGTCCTATACGTGCGCTGCAACATCGAAATTTCCCCACTGTGGGACGAATAAAGGAATTCTTATCTTATCTTATATACACACGTCATTTATTTTGTGCCCATATTATGTGTTATATCTTTTTAATGCAAAGTCTGATATTGTTTACACTTATATATAAATGTAGATGATAAAACAAGCTTTAAAATGATATATAGCTTGTGGGTTATGAAGTTCAAAATACTTCTGCTATTGCCAGCAGATGTATATTTTTTTTCTTGCTTAAGGGGTTAAGGACAAATATGATGCATTAATTCTGTTTCTTTTGTTCCTGTTTCATGTGTTTGTGTTTTTAATGTGTTTTCACTAGGGCTGTTAAACGATTAACATTTTTAATCATGGTAATTACAGCATAAAAATGAATTAATCGTAAATAATCACATTTTGATCCATCGGCAAAATTATGCCATATTTTTCTTTGGAAGGTTGTTTGAATGGAAAGATAAATGACAGCATAGTGTACATATGAAGTGTATTTATTTATTATAACAACAATAAATCTACATGAAATGGCATTAATATTATTCACATTCTGTCTTTCTGTAGTAGACAGAAAGACCTGTAAAAAGAGCAAAATAAGGGCCTGTAACTGCATACACAGCAAAATAGCCCAAAAGACGTAAAAGTGAGGAGAAGAGGGAACTAAGAGCGAAAAAATTATCAAAGAAGAATTCAGGCCCGGGTGAATATACGTAGCTAACATAATATTCTCGCTGAGACCTGCGGGAGCCGCCTCGCACTACATTTGAACGCAAAACTGGTGGTAATCTTCTTACAGTTATTGTACTGAATATTTTGTTAGCAGTGTGTTGTTTTTTGTCCCATTTCATCAGTGATTTTTATACAGCTTATAAGAAGTTGTGCTAAGCCTAACGTTTGCGTATGTATCAGATTGCTACTAAAACTAGATGCCCCCGTGGGAGGAGAGCGTAGGGAAGAGTAGGAGGGCTTCTCCAAATGAGACGGCTGGGAGCTGCACTTCTTAAGCTGTGTTCAGACCGCCAACGCTGGAACGCTGAAGCCTCGCTCACCAGACGCACATTCTCTAGTTTTCAGACGCACGGGACTTCACACCAGAACGTCATGGCCAGCGCCGGAAGTGGCGGAAGTAGCCGGCGGACTTTGACTAACGGAGTAAGCTAGCGAGTTTTTGTGGTAAGTTTGTCTCCAATAAGGCAGCTTTGCAGCGTCTCTGTGTTCAGAGACCTTCCAGGGACTTTATATAACAGCAGTATGTGTTCACGGAGGTGCGCAATAAGTTTATTTTAATATTAAAACATTGACAGTCAACGCAACGCATGATCCGGTCTGAATGCTGCATCAGACGTGCAAGGACTAGGAGGAGCAGCCGCCACCGGGAAGCGTGAATGTAAGAAGCGGGGTAGAGCAGGATGAGGGATGGAGACAGACGATGGGGTCCCAGATTGCCGTGTCATGAAGTGTGGATGC